TGTTAGATAGGACGCGAGGCGTGGCTCGAGCGTTGGATCGACTGAGATGCGACTCGGGCATTAGAATGGCCGTGAAGCGTGGCTCGGGCGTTGGATCGGCTAAGATGCATGGCTCGGGCGTCGAACTGGCTAAGATGCGACTCGAGTGTTTGATTGGCCAAGATGCGCGACTCGGATGTTGGATTTGGCCGAGATGAGACTCGGGTGTTAGACAGGGCATGAGGCATGGCTCGGGCGTTGGATCGATCGAGATGCGTGGCTCGGGCGTCGGACTGGCCGATATGCGACTCGGGCATTATATTTGGTGCCGACGGGTCATAAGTCGAGAGTGATTTGGAGTGACCTGGGCATGAGCTGGACCTACAGGCCGAGCGACTATGCTCGGCTCGGGTTTCGGCGTTGGCGGGTCATCTGTCGAGAGCGATCTGGAGCAACCCGGGCATGAGCTAGACCTGCGGGTTGAGCGACTATGCTCGACTCAGGTTTCGGTGCCAGTGGGTTGCCTTTCGAGGGCGATCTGGAGCGACCCGGGCATGAGATGGACCTGCGGTAGTCGCTTGGCTCAGGTTTCAGTGTCGACGAGTCGCTTGCCGAGAGCGATCTGGAGCGACTCGAGCATGAACTGGACTTGCGGGCCGAGCGACTATGCTCGGCTCAGGTTTCGGTGTCGGCGGGTCACTTGTTGAGAGCGATCTGGAGTGACTCGGGCATGAGCTAGACCTACGGGTCGAGCGACTATGCTCGGCTCAGGTTTCGATGCCAGTGGGTCACTTGTCGAGAGCGATATGGAGCGACCCGGGCATGAGCTGGACTTGCGGGCCGAGCGACTATGCTTGGCTCAGGTTTCGGTGCCGACGGGTCGCCTGTCGAGAGTGATCTGGAGCGACCCGGGCATGAGCTAGACCTGCGGGCCGAGCGACTATGCTCGGCTCAGGTTTCGATGTCGGCGGGTCGCCTGTCGAGAGCGATCTGGAGTGACCCGGGCATGAGCTAGACATGCGAGCCGAGCGACTATGCTCGGCTCAAGTTTTGGCACCGGTGGCGCGTCGATTTTTTGCCTGGATGCTATCATGCCATGTGGCAAGCCAAGCAAAGCGACATGGGGCCTGGCGGGAAACTTTTGCTTTGAATGGCCTTCTGAGGGCAGTTTCAGGTGATGGGATGCCTTTGGTGGGAGCTCCGAGGCGGGCGAATCTGGCAGATCCGAGGGGTTGTGACGGGTCTTAAATGCTGCGACTGTTTCTCTCCTCGGGAAACCCCAATCGCCACCTTGAAATGGGTCAACCCGCCTTTTATAAACCCTCTGCAGAGCGGTTGTGCTCACCCTTGCCATTTTGCTTTAGTCCCTCGTCTCGCGGCCCGGCTTCTTTCTCGCAACTTTGAGGTCGAGATGTCTCTGTCTTCATCTTCGTCTTCTTCACCCACTTCCTCTGAGAATCCACGGGATGAGGTAGTCAGTGTGTCCTCGGGTAGTGCCTCCTCGGAGCCTTCAGGAGTCCTGCCATGCTTGAGGCTCTCAAGTCGTGGCATGATGTAGACTCGGTGGTGACCGAGGACCTTCTAAGTGTGCTCCGGGATCGCTATCGCATCCCGGAGTGTTATGGTCTCCACGCCTCTCAACCCGGGCAGCGGTCGTACAATCAGTTTCCCAATGGGTTCGGGTTGACCGTAGGGGGGCTTAAGGCGGGGCTGCGGTTTCCGGTTCACCTTGTCATCGGGGAATGCCTTCATTTCTGGGGGATCTTGCCATCCCAGGTGTCGCCAAACTCATGGCGCTATCTGGTGGTCTTCATCTGGGAGTGTCGAGGGGCTGGGATCGAGCCATCCCGTGCCCTTTTCCTGGCCTACTTTCGCCTGTGCAGGGGGCAAGGTGGGTATTACCTGACCGCCCGCAGTGGATTCAAGATCAATGGTGCACCTTCCAACAACAAAGGTTGGAAGAAGCATTTCTTCTTTGATAGTTGTAGTACAGAATGGGGCTTTAGCACTGGGTGGGTCTTCCGGGCCATCGATAATGCCTTCCCGTTGCTCTCTGATGGAGAAACAACGGTTGTGGATCGACTGAGGGCCATCCTATCCTCTTCTCGGGCAATTAAGGAGATAACCGAGGAGTGGATGGTCGAAGCAGAGCTGAGCCCCACCACCGGGGGCATGGCCATTCACATATGATGGCTCGTCCGTTCGTGCCGCACAATCTGATCGCTCAGTATTTTTTTTGTAGAAATGGTGGACCTTCGATCAGTGAAGAAGATGCCCGACACCAAGGCTGCCATATCTTCAATATCGGTAGCCTAAAGTTGAGGGGTACCGGCTTGTCCTGTACTTCCTGGGTGAAAGGGGATCCGCCCGAGCTGCCTTCGCTGGACTCGCTCCGCGATTTTCTGAACTCATGTTGGAACTCGTCCAGACTGTCACGGACAAATCTCGAAACAGGATGTTTGATGTAATGCTTATGTATGTCTGTGTCTTTTGGTATGTTCATGCTTTGCACAATATGTAGAGGGATAGCTGAAAGCTTAATAGTCTCATTTTAGTTGGATTGGTGGCCGCTTTAGGCTTGTAAATAAAGGTTTGTCATGTGGACACTTGTGAGAGATTTTCGGTCTGTAATGGACCATTTTGACCCTTTATTGTGCAACTGTTTAGAGCTTGTAAAGTCTGTTTGTAATTTGCATTGTCTATAAAGTGTTTTCGGATATGTTTGCTTGTGGATCCCGAGTGAGACGTTTTCTCTATCCCGTTCTCTCTTTTGTGGGTCCTAAGGGACCATGGGAGGCTTCGGGGAGGCCAACCTTTATGGACGGACACGCAAGGGTGTCGCACGACTTAGGCAAAACCAGCTGAGTCCGTGACAAGACGTTGGTTGACCCAGAATAGTTGGGCCCTAAGTGAGTTGTCTGTCGAGTCAGACGATATGGTGTTAGGCTCGAAGTGGGGTAGTGTGACTCGGTAGGGTGTGGGTATGCTCTACGCGGGCGGACCTCTCGGGTCCTTCGCATGTTCTCGGACTTCTCCTGTCCCGACCTGCTCCCCGTTCGACCTCTGCTAGGTCTGGTCAATCAGGGGAGCCGCTAACCGCACGATCTGGGGGGATGAGCAGAGCGAGCATCTGCATCATGCCCGCCATAGTTTGCACTTGCTTAGTCAGGCTGAGGAACGCCTCGAGTGTCACGGTTGAGAGTTCTATGGTGAATCCGGGGGGCGACAACCTTGGATCGTTGAACAAGCGCTAGTAGTGATCTGGCGTCGAGGCCAGAATCCCCGCATCTCCGGGGGTGGGGAGGGCCTGATCTCTGGGTTCGACGGAGGGGAGACCGGCCGGTCGTTCTCCCTCGGGGAGAGCTCCAGCGAGATGCTCCTACGACATGGCCCTCCTTCTAGCACCAAAATGTTAACGAACAAATACACTGTGGTTGCCGAGTCAGCATGGCTAGGTCCGCGAGTCGATGTCGGGAGCTTTCTATAGAGTAAGCTAGATGATGAGGTGGTCATGTCCTCAGGAAGGAGCGCCGGTTGGCGTTGGTCGGGATCCGAGCCGATTGACTGCTCTCCTTTGCACGGGGGATGGCGTGCCCTGGGATGATACATTCGCCGCGCACGGGTGGTCGTTCACCTACAAAAAATGGCCCTCGCGGGGTGATTTCCGGCTTTGGCCCCTCCGACGAGCAAGTTAGTAATGGGATCGATCGTGCTCTTGTTGCCTCTCCTCCAGGCCGGAGGCCGACCTGAGGCTTTATAGTATTGCCCGAGGCTCGGTAGCACGTCGATTCGGCGTGATCGCTGACCCTCGAGGGATGGGATGACACCTCTGACCGGCCATCGCCCGGGGCGTGCGAAGCCACGTCAGACGGCACCGCCCCGAGCTTTCGGGACGGGACAGATGAAACAACTTCTCGGTACGGTTCGGACTTGGCGTGTGGCGTGAGCGGTGATGTGCCCGAGGTCCCAAAATATGCCGTATCAACATCGACAAAGTTTAATTGCCTAAGCATCTGGATACACAAAGATGGCATATTGATGAACTGCTCAAATAGCATGGAACTTGTGGATTAAAATTTATAGATTGTGATTGTTTTCCTTAAGTTTGTGAGATACTTTTGCTTGATCAGTATGGATTTTTCTTTTTTACAAAAGATAAAAATTTAAACTCAGGATATTATGATATACTGAGAATTTTTTTCTGAAACACCGAAGGTTGGTGAGGGTGCTGCTAATGAAATAAAATGCTGCTTCGGACAATATCACTGTAGTGAGAGCACAGTTAGGAAATACCATTTTAAGGACTCCTACCTCAAAGGAAGCAGAGTAAAGCAAGCATGAGGTTGTGACTGCAGGCTCTCTCCGGAATGGTCTCTTTCTACCAGGATTAGAATGGTGAAAGCATCTGTGTGCAGTCCGTCAACCTCAGCGTCTTGGTCATGTAGATGCTGATGGACGACCTCAGGTGAACCTCCAAGGAATTAGTTCATGCACGCACTGCTATAAACCAAATTAGGCCCCCAGTAACATGCACATGCTGAACACCCAGTAGATTGCCAATCAGATTACAAGCATGACAGAGACACAGAAAGCATTTCATATATCCTACAATATTAATTTGTTGGGGGTGATCAAATAAACAGAACATTTCTAGACACAAAGCATTTCTAGAAATTGATTAACCAAAGGAGGGGCACACTACATTTGAACTGTCCAAGAATGTAAATAAGAAATCAACATGATCTCTACGTATGCCTACAAATTTCGCCATCGAAAGATTAGTACAAGGCTTAAAAAATCTCAATGGAGTGCATCATTCATTTTCTTTATCTACTTGCCCATCGACAGAGAAACTAAATTCTGGCACACGAATCTCTTGAAACCAACTGGAATGTATGATTCTAAACACAGATTTTGAACTTTAAATAGATTAGCAGCAACTTATATATTTCCTTAGTACCATGCAGCAGAGTATCGTAACCCAACTATGGCATCCTTCAAGGAAAAAACTGAAAGCGAGAAATCGGCATATCTTTACATGTTGGGTAACTGAACCACAAAATACAACAACAAATCAAACTTCATGTTCAATGGAAAAGCTTAACATTCACACATTATTTAAAGCACGAGATTCAGATAAGAATCACTCTTTTAAACATTAAATATGCTTTAAAAAATTCGCACCTTAGTATTGCGTACAGATTTCATGTCAATTAGCAATTCACAAAATAACTAAAAACCACCTGAACTATACGATAAGCACATTGAGCACCATATATATATTCCTACCTCCAAAATCTTACTAGCTTTGGCTCGTAGACGGTATCAGTTGCCTGTTAAACCACACACTGCAAGCAATTGCATGTTTGGACAAGCAGTACATATTTTCAGTCCATTTTTCTTCTATATCCTAGACAATGTGCACATAATATTGAAAGCTGTGTTGCTTGTAAGGAATGCAGAAGGATGCCCTCTTGCCTTCATGTAAGAAAAGAAAACATCTGTGTATTTAGTTTCCATACAGAATAGACGGTTACCATGTGCCAAAGCAAAAATGCCTATCCAACAGCAGCAAGTTTCCATACAGAATAGATAGTTTCCATGTGCCAAAGTAAAAATGCCTATCCAACAGCAGCTAGTTGACAGTACGTGAACAAGATCACAGGGAACATTCAGGTCAGATGCCCCATCTTCTGTCATCAGCAATGTCCCTAGACCAACCAGGTTTACTCTAATAATACTTCATGCAAAGCCCAAAAATTGAGAGGCATATGGACATGTAAATGTGCTTCGAAAATTAAACTAGAGAAAAGGTTGCATTTACAAATAGGAATATGTTAACTTCTTCCGAATGGTATCTTGTTAACCAATTACTCATAAAATCAGTATGACTTAGCATTGCCTAACAGGTAACTCTAAATTCTTCATTTGTTAAGTATTTAAAAAAGTGACAAATAAGAAACATGATAGCCATCGGGACCACATACAACACAAAACCTAGTAAAAGTCTAGATTAGTAAACCATGCCAACCAAATAAGCCATAAAAAACTTATTTATAAAGGAGAAAATTGATATAACGAAAAAGATAAGCAGAATCACGAGCAGGGCTTATAATAAAAATAACTTGAATCTAAGAACATCCAAATTCTCATGATGACCGACATATGTCCCAAGATTTTATAGTGCAAGGTTTATCAGTGCACCAGAGCATTAGACCAACTAGGCCAGACCTATAAAGCAGCAATATGTCTAAAATCAATTGGCATATCATCATCACTAAAGCCTCTTTCCCTAAAGGACAACATACACCCACAACCCAGTTATAAATCAGGGTTAACAATTAGTCAGCAGACAAGAGAAAGTAACCCCATCAGCATCATGAACCATGGTAGCTAATTCTTCAAATTTCAAGCTTGATTTTTTTTGCCAAAAATTAAACTGTAAAAGTATCTCCAGGTGACTAAAATGTATGTGAAAGCCGGGCAAGTTTTGAAGTGATCGATGGCATGGATTTCATGAAGCACAAAAAGTTCATGTGGTGGGGGAAATGATGATTGCTTGAATGGGAATTATTTCATGATTGTAATAATATAGAGCATGAAAGTATTGTACCAAAATTTAAAGCTAAACCTCCCACTACTCCTATGAAAAAATTATTAAAAATTAAATCTCCCCCTTACAAATTGTTTAGCAACTCATAAAACCAGAAGGCACAATTTTTTTCATGTAACAAAACCAATCTAACAAAATGCAGGTACAAATACATGTCACAGCAAAGTAGATGATAGCATCATCTAAGGCCTAGCTGCAAGAGTCTCTTACTTCACAATTGGTGGTTAGCTTCATGCTCAATCAGAGAATTCGGTCAACTTTCTAAAAGATGGTTTAGTTTTTGCCCCATAGTTAAAGTTTTTATCCCCAGGGGCCCTAAACCAGGTGCCAAATTTTCGTTTCTTGTTTCTGCCCTGCATATAAGCAGTTCTAAGTATCATAGCTACTTTATAAACTTCTTGCAGAATATTTTTCTTCATCCTGAATCACAGTGAAAAACCAGCTGCAAAGAGTGTAACACAAACAGTTGTCCAGTATTTATTTTACAAGAGGTTTAAAAAAATCTTAACCATTCACCAAAAACGAAAAGAAAAATCTGACTGTAGTTGACAGTTTCATGTGTCAAACACAAAGGGTGTTGCTCTTAACTTTGAGCAATGCTTATAAATTAGTGACCAAAGGAGATAAGCCATAGTTCATGGTCGAGTATAGTAACATAAACACCAGGGTTTGATATAAAAGAAGAGCATAATAAGCCAATATTTAACTAAACCAAAGTTTTTTAGACTTGAAGATTGAGGCAACTTAACAGCTCCACGTGGTACGTTCATATTATAAGAGACATGTGGACATTAATTAATGCATATAATGAAACAGTAAAAAAGTCAACCATTTCAATAAACAACAAGAATAAAACTTCACTTGTAACTTGTAAGGACAAGAAAACAAGGCTAAAGTTCGGAATAAAGGGCACGGGATTCAGAATTTGAGCCAAAATTTCCAACAGTATTCTCAAAAAGATGTTCTCAAATGGTACAGGAAAAAAAAAACGAACTACCTTCAGATAAGTATATGTATTGCCGCAATGGCATATCAATGACTATTTTCATTTATTTGCTACAATTGATAGAGGAACGATTCATGTGTCAGAACAGAATGTCCCACTGTTTGTATGTACTTGCTCTGCTAGTGATTTTGAGAAGTTCAGTAAAATTCATCTTCATAACTCACAAGTACCAAATTCATATTCGGAAATACCAAACACAAACACACTGGACCATGACATTCTGCTTCTTTATTGGTTGAATTTCCTTGTTCTAGATTTCAAGTAAAATTCTCCATAAATTAAAGAAAGAGTGACTCTGTCATGCCAATCATGTTGCTGATTAAGATTAATTGCAACAAGAAAAGATTTTTCTATTTATTTACCATCTGGGAATTCTGAGTTCTTGATTCGAGAGAGTGCCTACATGTGAAATTTGTCACTTTTAAATAATTTGAATACCTTTAAAAACCGCAATTTTCAGCATGCTACAATTCACAAACTGCATGTCCTATATACTGCAGAAACTTAACGTAGCCATGTAGGTTTACAATAGCTTACAGAGTTAACTACTCCAAAAGAAAAGTCATCGGAAGGGTTCAACTGGTGCAGTTTCTTCAAGAAGGGCAGCAGCCTGAAAACACTCAGCGGCCTCAAGTGCTGATCTGGCACCTTCAGCCTTATAAAGTAGACCAAGATTGAACCAAGCAACATGGTTAGTCCGGTCCAGCCGAAGTGCATCAGTCAGGAAGCTCCTAATGACAACCGATGGCTGATCACCAAGATGTCTAAGAACAATTGCTGTTGAAACCAAGCTCGGGACATGGGCTGGCTCTATATTCAATGCTTTAGCATATGCTCCTAGAGCTTCCTTAAGGAGTCCTTGTGCTTCATGCAGCTGCCCTGAAACATCAGCAATTGAATTTGACATCCAATGTTAATATTGAGAAAGTAATATACTTTAAAAAAGAGAAAGAAAAACACAAGAAACAGAGGACAAAATGTGGTATCGTCACACATCTAAAGAGACAGATGGTTCTAAAATCTAATTATAGCAGGATTATAATATTCACGAAAGCAATTGACCATTCAAGCAAATGATAAATATCAGTTACCAAGCAAGCATTAAACTCTTCATGAGGCTCATGTAGTTACTGTAGAAAAATATGTTTCTAATATTTGTTGACATAACAGAGTAATAAACTTCCAACATATCTAGTATTGATGAATGACAATTAAAGACTCCGCTTTCAGGCATACTAAGAAGACAAACTCCTACAAAAAGGGAATTTCTAAAATTACACTTTTGACAAATCTTATACTGTACTACAAGTCCAGACAACAAATTGGTTGCGAACCCTCAACGAAAACACGGAAGAATCCATCATCATCATCACCACCCATGAAGGATAACCAACAGAAAGAAAAGATGGAACATGACGAGTGAGAGATTGTGCAAGTAAAGCCAAAAGAGGCAAAAGGAGCCTTGCGAAAAAAAAAAAAGAGAAGGATGCATATCTTACATAATAAAATGCAATTTTAAGAAAAATGCATGTTTAATAAGTTGAAAAGGAAGAGGTTAGAATTCACAATTCAGTACTGTTTGGCTGTTGACAAATTCCATAATCCCCAAAAGAAAATGTTTCACTACTGCTCTACTGTAAATTTACAATAATCAGCACCTAGTTTACCTCTTTGCATGACTGCAACAAGAAAAAGAAAGGAAAATTTTTCTGGCATGCCACTGCAATATGCCATAATATCTCATAAACCTCTCCAAGAAAGCAAATATCTTATATACCCAACTAAATAACTAATCTACCAGTGATTTAAAAAGCGCTAGGCGTCAAAAGGCGCCAAGGTCCAAAAACGCCCGAGGCGCTAGGCGCTAAAATATAAAAATATAAAATATAATTAATAAATATAATTATTTAAAATTTTAAATAAAAATATAAAAATATATCATATAATTAATAAATATAATCACATTAACAGTATAAACCTGTTGACGAAGAAACGAGGAAGCAGCGGCGAGCGGCGACAGCGGCAGCGGGAAAGGGAGCGGGAGCTACGAGCAGCGGGAGGGCTCGCGGGAGGCGCGAGCAGCGACAGCGGCGAGCAGCGACAACGGGAGCAGGAGCGATGAGCAGCGGGAGGCGTGAGCAGCGGGAGGGCTCGCGGGAGGCGCAAGCAGCGACAGCGGCGAGCAGCGGTAACGGGAGCAGGAGCGACGAGCAGCAGG